GACAACGTTCCTCTAGGCCTTCCTGTCCTCTACCATCCTCTGGAATCCATTTAAGCTCACGCCGACTGCTTCGGTGACTCCATCCAGCCACTTCATTTCCAGCATTGGGCAGGTCCAAATATTGTTTATGTGTTTTCCCTTTCTTGTTTCCCATGCCTCATTTAGAAAGAAATATGAAAGGTGCCAAATTTCACGAAGACCCTAATTCAACTCTGTCAACCCGAATAAATGCACAAATATTAGGAAGGTGATGAGTCCAATCCCCTGATTTAAGAACTAAATATTCATCACTACCATCATTCCCACTCCCTCTCCCCTGTCCTGCTAGACCGAGTTTGAATTCCCCACCTTCATACCCAATTTATGAAGAAATCTGCAAAGTTTGGCAAGGTCTTATTTTTAAAACCATCAAGGCAGCATTCTCACCCCTCCCTATGCTGGTATGCAGACCGAGGGGAGGTGGCTGGATTTAACACAGCATGCCGGGCCTTGCAACATAACTTGGGAAAGTTTTTCTAGTTGGCTTGGCACAGCCGTGTGACCCTTCCTGCACTGTGATGGGGTGGGGGGAGAAACAAGCACCCCTCCCATCCTTTGAAGAATGCCGAACCCAGGGAGTTAGCTCTGCATTCATTACCCAGCCTTCCACTCTCTGCAAATTCCCACCTACACCCTCTTAGCGCCGAGTTTATACAGCATGACAAGGAGCCTGTGGTAACTCCTCTGCGATTATGGCTTATGGTGCATATTTCCCCGTGGAGTTTTGCTGATGCCTGAGCAGGGTTTTTTTGTTTGTTTGTTTGTTTTTGCAGAGGCCCCCCCTTTCTATTTTGAGGCTGGGAATTAAAAGAAGGAAGCTTGTCCTCTGTGCGACATGCCAGATTTGCTGCCCTCCACTGCCAACCCCAATATCAGCAGCCTGCCTAATTTTATGTCCACCCCAATGCCATCAGGTCCCCTGAATCAAAGAGGACTGCCCTTGCCTCCCAACGCCCGGGATTTGTGACACTTGACTTAAATAGGTCAGGGCACACAGATGGCCTTTGGAAATTCTCCACCAGATATGTGGGAGCCAGATGGATAATTTCTCCTCTGTGTCTCTCCGGGAAGAAAACCCTTGCCATTCCTCAAGGGCAATGCTGCCCTTTCATGGAAGGACCATAATACTGCTAAGGGGTTGGGGGAAGCCTCATAGGAAGAATCTGTCCTGGGAGCAAAGGGAGATGTGGGAAGGCAGAGATTGCAGCACCTAGCTTGGAACTGTTGTGACCCACCAGCGGCCAGAGGAGCTGGCAGCGGATTTGAACAGTGAGGAGGTTGGGGAGGAATATGGGCCAGTCCTGGAGACTGGGGAAGGCTCTGATGANAAATCCTCCCTTGAAAGACTTTGCTGGATGTGAATGAGAAGAAGTCACAGTAAATTAAAAAAAGTATTTTTTGGTAGGACAAGGAGTTTGCTTCATGCTCTTGGGAAGCCTCGGTCAGAACAAAACCAGCTCCTCCAGACCCTAGAACCACCGGGGTATGTGCATGTCCTCTGAGAGAGGTCTGTTAATGAAGGAGGGATATTGGTAGTCCTCGACTTACGACCACAATTGGGAACCAACATTTCTGTTGCTAAGCAAGCCGGCTGATTTTATAACCCTGAAACAGTTGTTAAACAAATCACTGCAGTGAAGTGAATCACATGGTCATTAAGCGAATCCAGCTTCCCTCAGTGATTATGCTGGTCAGAAGCTGGCTGGGAAGGTCACAAATGGCAATCACGCGTGGCCCTGAGATGTTGCAACCGTCATAAATACATGCCAGTTGCCAAGCACCTGAATTTTCCTCAGATGACATGCTACCATGCTCGTTAAGTACAGCTCCTCTTTCTTTTAGTGACGTTGAAACATTGGTCACTAAGCAAGTAGTTGTAAGTTGAGGACTACCTGTTCTGTCCTCTTGCAGACACAGGAGAGTCTCTTAAGTTGAAGGCAAGCGGCACCTTCATATCGAACCTCAGCGGAGCAAAAGCAGGCCTCACTCGGAAGGGATCGCTCCTGAATGCGTCAGGGCTGGCTTCCTGGATTTGGAAGCCTGTGAAATAAATACATTTTTAGCATCCAATCCATTTTCAACAATAGGAGAATTAAGCCCAGTGTTTAATACAGACTCCTGGCCTCACCAAGATGGCCATCCTGTGTGCTGATCTCATAGCATCCCAAAAGATGCTCCATTTAAAAAAGATATCGCGTTGCTCAGGGCCTACACTCGCTGCATAACAAGATCTCAGCATCTAGTTCAGATCAGGAGTTCAGAAGAACAACTGGGCCAGGGGTGGGTTCCTGCCAGTTTTGACCTCTTCTATAGACGAGGTTCAACAAATCTATAGTGCTGTGTAGAATCGGTTCCAGCTCCCTCCCCCCGCCCGTCTGGATATCATCAAGATGGAGAGTGAGAGGAGGAATTCTGGGAGTTGAAGTCCACAA